CTTGTCTCCTCATCTGTAAAACAAAGGGCTCTGTTAGGTGATCTCAGAGAGCCCTGCCAATTCTTTGACAACTCTCCTAATCGATATCCAAATCAATGTCTGTCACACCCAGGCCGCTGTCGCCATTCATTGCCATTCATTCGTACAGCGAACAATAGGAAGTCAAGGGGTGGTGTGGGGTAGGGAGGGGGCGGGGGGATTGCCGCGTTATGCACTGAACGTTTTCCTAACAGGAGCAGCTGTTCCCATCGCCGCGTGCCCAGGCAGGTAGCATAGCCGGGTGGCTTCAGGAGTGAGATGGAAGCAGGGCCCACTCCTCGGTGGCGGCCACATATTTTAGTTGGACCACTGACCTTTTCCCCAGAAGGGTCCTTACCACCCGCATCCAGCCCCCGTGACCTAGCACTGCACGTTGGCTCGCAGCGCTGCACCGAGGCAGCTGTGAGGTCCCCTCTGTAATGCGGCCAGACCTGCTCTTCCCGGTTCCTCGGAATTGCACTGACCGACGCTTCGGGGAATCTCGCAGCAGCCCTGAAGCTTTCGTTCTTTCTTCAGAGTAAGGAAGTGGGAGAGGGGCTGGATGGGGAGGAGAATGAGAATCTTCCGAGGTCCATGAAATGACCTGAAATCTAAAGATGTCAGGCTTTCAAAGCGACCCAGTGGCTGGTCACTCCACATGTCATAGATAATACCACGCCAAGAGCTCAAGTTATCTGAAGCTTTCTCTGTGAAATGGGAACCAACTTTTCCTCTCTGGGAACAACGACTATCACATTTCTCCCTGACATGCAAACTGAGGTATGTTTACTTCATTATATGGTATCAACACTGACCCTTTAATGTGAAAAGTCACTCCTAGATTCCTTCTGCCCTTATCTGGTGTCCCCAAGGGTGTAATTCCTGGTTCCCTCTTCCCACAGTTCAGTACACACACACACACACACACAAACACACACACACACATGTGTTATGTTACATCATTAGAATCTAATTTAATCCAGTGAACCTCACCATCAAAGATTTTTTTGCCGCTGATTGTCTTTTACTTAGACGTGTCACAAATGCGTTCTTCATTCTCTGTGTCTGTATGTGCCCAGGGGTAGAGGGAGCGCTGAAAGGAAAAGATGTTGCCAGAGAAATAGAAAGAGAAATAAACTCGAGGAGCAAACGCCCTACATGCTGTGGCTTCCAAGCACTGCCAGCAGGTTGTGGGGCTAGCCAGGAAAAAATAGAGCCGCTTATTCTAGAAGGCTTGGAGAAAACGTGAGAAGAGAAGGGAAATCAGATCGGATTGGGGGGGAGCAAGAGAAACTCGGCTCCAGTGAAAAGGACCCGTCATTCCTTTCCAGGATGTAATTTGCTGAGATCCACCACTTGCATTTCGTACGTAAATGAGGCGGCTTCCCCCAGGGTGGGTTGGGCTGGGCTGAGCCTCTGGGAACAGCAGGGATTCAAGCACTGAGGAGCCGCAGACCGGAGCGGAGCGCAGCAGGAAGGCATCACATCTCCAGCCAGCCCCAAAGAGGATGGACAGGACACTGAAGCAGAGAGTACGTGCGGATTAAAGGACTCGGGAGAAGCCGTCAAAATTCAGGACTGGCAAGAGAGTCAGTTCAGCCTCTCAGGCTTGTAGTTTCAGACACTGATCATTTCTCAATCCCTGAAGAGATTCCTTCCCCAGGGAAGTGAAAATAATGAACTTTTGGAGGTATTACTTTTTTGCTTTCACCGTGTTCAGTGTGGTTATCTGTGTGATATTTTACAATAGCCAGTTGAGCCCGCCAAAAAGGTACGAGAAGCTGAACAGTTCCGGAGAAAGGTATTTTAGAACAGATGCCTGTAATTATGCTTTAAAAGACGAGCCAACCTTTTTGTGGGAAAATACCCTACCATTACCTTTGGGAAGTGTCCCCTGCAAGGACTACCTGATCCAGAATCACTATATCACAAGTCCCCTGTCGGAAGAGGAGGTCGCATTCCCTTTGGCCTATGTCATGGTCATCCACAAGGACTTCGATACTTTTGAAAGGCTCTTTAGGGCTGTCTATATGCCCCAAAATGTCTACTGCGTTCATGTGGATGAGAAAGCCCCAGCTGAGTTTAAGGGATCTGTGCGGCAGTTACTGAGCTGTTTCCAAAATGCTTTTATCGCTTCAAAGGTAGAGTCTGTGGTTTACGCGGGAATTTCCAGGCTCCAGGCCGACCTGAACTGCCTGCGAGACCTTGTGGCCTCCGAGGTTCCCTGGAAGTACGCCATCAACACCTGTGGGCAAGACTTCCCCCTGAAAACCAACAGGGAAATAGTTCAGCATCTGAAAGGATTTAAAGGGAAAAATATTACCCCAGGGGTGCTGCCCCCTGACCACGCAATTGGACGGACCAAATATGTCCACCGAGAGCATATAGGCAAAGGTGGCTCCTTTGTGAAAAACACGAAAATTTTGAAAACCTCACCTCCACATCAGCTGACCATCTACTTTGGCACTGCCTATGTGGCCCTTACCAGAGAGTTTGTCAACTTTGTTTTCCATGACAAAAGGGCCATTGATTTACTACAGTGGTCAAAAGATACCTATAGTCCTGACGAGCATTTCTGGGTGACACTCAGTAGGATTCCA